ATGCATTCCTCTATCTCAAGATGTATGATTCGAAGACCCGAATAAAGTGATCTTAGAGTAACATATCATTAGACGAGTTTCTCGATGTATCGTAAGGTTCCAACCGCTATCACGAGAGCAGACACCGCATATGATATTCTATATCATTGGAGAGCTAATTGATCCGCTCCTATGACTACGATTAGGAACGATCTGTAGACAACAACTTGTAGTCATACTCTTCACATTCTTCTCATCTGCTTTGCTTCTCATCTGTTCTTTAGGGCAATGTCGCTTCTCTAAAGTTATGTTCTTAAATAGCATCAACTTGCTCCATAACTGTCAATAAAAATAAAGACTGTCAATTTGACATTCTCCATTCAGATATGAAAGCTCATCAACAGAATCAACCACCACAACAACTCGCAGCCAACAATAAATTCTATCACTCGTGGAATGACTCGTCGATCACTTCAAGCAATCCAGCACTCGCCCCGCAACCACTACCACTTGCCAGCATACCATATCAGAGTGTTCCTGAACAAACTCAAGCACAGGCACCCCAACAAATTCTGCCCTACAACAGTGCGCCTTATGAGCGCGTCGCAACCATAAACCAACCTCAATCCCAGGTACAGTCAGCATCCGTGAATATGCTACCATATCACAACAGTGCTTCGGAGGTCAATCAAGGCAGCGCCGTTGTCAATTCACCGCAACAACCTGAGAACGTTCAAGCCCTGAATAAGACTAGTTCAGTGCAAGCAGTCAATCCTCAGACATCCGACGTGTTTCCACCAGGACAACCTGGTTATGTGCCAATTTATGCTGGTGACAAACATACGAATGAGGCAAGAATTAAGGATGTGCAAACCATGGACGCACCATTTTTCGGCATAGCTCCTCCTCCTCAATAAGATTCTTCGATAATATTAGTCTTGAGAGAGTCATGAAAGATTAATTAAGAACTTCAATGCGTGCTTTTAACATATTCTCTGCGGATGATGTTTTACATATTCAATGAGCTATCATACGAACGTACACCTTCAAGACTATGCTGTAAGAAAGCGCTTGAACTGGATGCACCAATACGATTTATGACAAACTCTCAATGCTGATGTTCTTGCTCTCCACTGGATTGATTACATTTACCCAGATATTATGTACTATAATATACATATACACATGAGAAACAGTATCTATCTTGTAATTGTATTAATCCGTTCCAAAGAAATAAATATTTCTGTGCAATTTCCATGTTACAAATGCATTAAAGCGAGTTTAGAAACATTTTAGCATATTACATTTTCATTCCCAATTGATTTGAGACTGCCCAAGTTAATGTCATCACAGCACATACCCATTTCAAATTTGTCGTATGATGCTCATAACGACATTCTTTTGAATGAATAAGAGAGCACGAGATACGTGAAACTAGATCTAGAATGATGTACGGAAACTGTGAGCCTCAAATACCGAGAAACGATCAGATTTTAGTACAAAAATACTGCGAATTCATTCGAGTTCTTGAAACTCGCGATTGTACGTATGATTGATCTGCTAAGAATTAATATGTGTGTATTGTTATGATGGCATTTTTGGACGTTATAAAAAAAGAATTTAAGAAAACAATATCAAATGTGCTTGATATTACATTTCTACAATAAATTGAAAAGGATTCATTTAACTTTCTTGGCCATTCTGATCAGTAATGGGGAGTTCAAAGTATACTAGCGGAATCTGCGCAAAAATTCTGATCTGCTCATGCTAGCCACCACGTGAGTAAATCTGAAATCTATGAGCATGAGTAATGAGTTGAGCACGTTGAAAAGTTGCCATCAAAATTCTATATAAGGGGCCAGTCGATAGCAATGCAGTAAGCAAAACGTCGCAAATGTGGCCTAAACAAAGAATTCAGCATGAATCAGAGCAACGAATTGAGCTCAGTTTATCTGTATAAGCCTGTCGTTCTTGTTAACATCTGAAATACCGAATCAGTTATTACTACGGAAACACCACTAAATTTGAATGCCAACGACCACTCGTGTGGTAAAACGAAACTGTTTCATTATTCAATACGTCAATTTTAATTTACTCGAGCTCGTGAGCATAAACAAGGTGCACTTTTTTTCGCAAATTCTATCTCATTGTCTTTGACTGACAATTTTCCATATCCGAAATTTAATGAATCCAATATAGCTATCCACTGTATACTTCTGTAGGATTGAAAAGCCAAAGAAAGCATTCAGAACTGTGTCTGCAACGCTCTATGCGAATACGATGTCAATGATCACTGCTGTGTTTATGATAATTCTAATGCTGCAGCTTCCACAATGGCAGTGAGAGAAGAAATTCGTGAAACAGATGATCAATATGGTATTAATGAGGTTAATGTCAGTGGTCATGCCAGAAATATAATTTTTTAATCAATATGATGACGTTAATTCATCACTGATTCTCATTTAATAATTATTGAAATTGAAAGTCTCAAAGGCATGACAATAGTTGAAGTAATAAAACCAAAAGTTATCAGAAGCTAAGATGAACGTAAATAGTGAAGATTTCAGTATAAGATTAAATGGCTGTCAGTGCTCATGACAAGTTGTTGAAGTCCAACCACATTATTATCTTAGAACCGTGGTTTAGATGCATTTTGAGTCAAGCGCACCCAGCGCTGAAACACTGATCAATTTCTTCGCTCATCAAATCAATCCCCCCATTACCTTCACTGGCCTAAATGGGTGACTGAATCAATCTCCTTAAAACTAATCGATTCACTACTATTGTCCTGATTCGTTTTAATGATAGCAATATTATTATCACTGTTTCCATCAAACAGCATCATTATTTCTACTCATCAGCTTCAATTACGAGTTGGTGCTTCTGAAGTCATTGTTCTCAAAACTTTCATTGAAATAACTGGCAATAAACTATTGTT